CTACATAAAATCTTAGTTTTTCTCCCAAAGTGTTAAGTAATGTGATATATGATAGGAGACAGGCTTGGTGAACAGCCTCTGTAACAGTGTCCATGAAAATTAACTTTCATTGATTTACTATTAAAATTCTACATCCATAGCTACCTTGTATAATGATTTACTCGATGAAGCTGATTTTGAGTCATGAGCTGGCAGGTGCATAGGTACATTTATAGCAGAGAACGCAATCCTTTTAAGGATGCCGGGAGATGCCTAAACTCAGCATCACTATTCACCCCAAGGTTCCCGAAGATTGGAATCTCTACGTCTTGCAGAGACACAGTTTACGGAAACTAGCGCTTGCAGAATCAGGATGCTGCCTGTGAGGTCACTGGACCTTGGCCTAAATCTAATTTGAATAATTACATTCCGTTCCACCCTGAGTCAGTAGAGCCCCCTGATTAATAATCAGCATTTACTACATACCAGTGAAGTGTTGGCTGCTATAAATAGATGGAGTTAACAATTTAATTAACTACAGGAACTGGCAAGATGAACACTCCATTCAGAGAGAAAGATAGATGACAATATCCTTAAGATCTGTGAGCACTCAGCTGTCCCTGACCCTAATCCATTAGCAGTTATAGTCAAAGGTCACTCTGTTAACCCTCACTTTTGGAAACCCCTTCAAAAAGCTGTCACCGTTTTTTACAGGGGTCAGGCATTTTAACAATAAATATTCTACAATGATAACATGGAACTTTGAGGCCCCTAAGGATAAAAAGTTGCTTGAGAAGCATATGTCACTGTCATTCTGATACTTCTACCCATTGATAGTGAACAGCCCTTGGACTTGATATCCTCAGTGACCAAGCCCCCACCTCTGGTGGCCAGGCAGGAAAAGTTGTACTATTGCTTTTTCATAGCAGTTCTTGGCTCTTGTGGAATTTCTTTGAAGCTTGCATTTATACAGCCATAATGAAGGAAACTCCACTATAGGGCAGGCCCTCCTGGATAAAGAGTGTATTAAGAGTGTATTTCTATCAAGCAGCATATAACCTAAAACTCATAATCCAGTTTCCATCTGGTAGTATCTGAATTTGGTCTACAACTAAATTAAAATGAACATTTTGACAACGGTAGGATTGCCGTTCCTTTTTCTCTCTCATACTTCATTTGCAGTAATGGTATCTCCTTCCCTGGTCTTGCTCCCCACCAGAAGATGCCTGAGCCCTGAGTACAAAGCCAGTTAAGCTATGACTCCACCATATGGCCAATTTCCACCTTTACAGAGTACCTCAAAGATTGGCTTTTGGTTGTTCATGCATTATCTAAATATATACATCATCCTGAGAGCCCAGAGCCTAGGTTCCATTTCCACATTTGGCCTCAGACTGGGTATTTCTCTCCTTTCTTACTGCAAACCTCTCTACTGAGTGATCCATATCTGTTACCATGAGCTTCTGCCTTCACTGCTGTATCAAAGCCTGCCAATGGTGTCCTAATGACAATATCTCATTTCCACAGCTTCACTGAAGCATTTGCCACCACTAAATGCATTTTTCGTTCTTGCAAGTCTCCCTTCCCTTTGTTCAAAACAACGTTCTTTTGGTTTCCCTAAAGCTTGGTGATAAAGTTGTCAGATTTAGTAACTTAGAATGCTGGACACTCAGTTAAATTTGAATTTCAGATAAATATGCATGCAACGTAAAAACCGAAAACCAAACCCATTACCATCGAGATGATTCAATTCCAACTCATAGCGACCCTATAGCACAAAATAGAACTGCCCCATAGTGTTTCCAAGGAGCAGCAGGTGGATTTGAACTGCTGGCCTTTTGGTTAGTAGCCATAGGTCTTAACCACTGTGCCACCAGGGTGATATTTCCTTATTTCTTTCCCTTCAGGATTTAGTCTTTAGTAGTGTTATCTCCTGTATCTTCACCCTCACATCTATGAATTTGTCTATTCCCCCAAGCCCAGCCATCATATCACCTCTACTTCACCTCTCTCCTTCCTATAAACTTCTTAAACATATTTGGTAATTTTACACGCTTCCTGTCACAGACATTTCTTCTATTGTTTTAAATAGTATTTGAATTTTTCATGTGTTATTATTTGTCTCTTACATTCAATTTTAAATTCCTGGAGGTCGGGGACCACTTATTACCCTTCTTTGATCCCAAGGCCTGCAGCATGGCTTCCAAGGGTATGCTGTCAAAAAAATGTATGAAGTTGTTAGCCTTTGGTTTCTGGTCATTAAAATAATCCATTACATTTTTATAAAATGCTTCCTGGAAATCCTACATTTTCTTAGTCCATTCACTCTCCTACTCTCCTGGATGTTACATCTCTTCGTAAGTCCTACTCTTCCCCCTCCTCACTCTTAGCTGATGGCCTTGCTTCCTATAAGGCTAAGAAAGTAGAAGCAATCAAAGAAAACTTCCACGTGCTCCCATCTGTATATCAAACAACCTACCAGTGTCTGTACCCATATATTCTGCCTTTTCTCCTGTGACAATGAATCTGCTCTCCACGCTCCTGTCTAAAGCTAACCCCTCCTCTTGCTGCCTGGATCTCATCTCTCTCACTGACTCATGGACATCATCGCAGCAATTCTCCCTTCTTTCACCTACATAATTAATTTTTCCCTTTCTGTAGGATCATTCCCATTAGTATGCTTTACTATTCCCCTCTTAATGAGCAAATAAACAAACAAACCTCCCTCTCCTTGGACATTAAAATATTCTCCAGTTATGACACTGTTTTTCTGTTGCCCTTTGCAGCAAAACTCCAAAGCATCTATACTTGCCATCTCCACTTCCTCTCCTACCATTTTTTCTTGAATCCACTCCAATCAGAATTTTGTCCTCACCTATACCTCAACAACTTTTGTCAAGGTTAGCTAATTACTTCCAAATAGTCAAACCAAATGGGAACAACTTAGTTTTCACCTAACTCAACTAGTCAGCAAGATATGAATTGAGTTAATCACTCTAGCAATCTTCCACTCTGTCTTCTGTGGAATCATATTTGAAATATTGTTGGAATGCTTCTTCCGTCAGGTTCTACATCAGCTCTCCATTCTGGTTTTCCTCCTACCTCAATTCCTCCTTCTCAATGTCTTCTGCCTATTGCTTCTCATTTTCCTGACCTCTAAAAGGAGGAAGGCACAAGGACTCAAACTTTGAATCTATTCTTTATCCACATTTACTCCCTAGATGATCTCATTCAGCCTCATAGATTTAAATATCTTCAATATGCTAACAATTCCCAAGTTTTTATCTCTAGATTGGACCTTTTCCCTGACCTCCAGAGTCATCTATCCAATATTCTACACAACATTTCTACTTGGAAGTTCATGATGAACCTCAAATTAACATAGCATCTCCAAAAGTAAACTGGTCTCCCCATTATCACCCTGAACCTGCTCCTCCTACAGAATTTATAATCTCAATAGCTCTCAATTCTTCCCGTTGCTGTCATCGAAAACCTTGGAGTCAGACTGTAGTGACGGTAGTTGCAGCAGTGGTAGCAGCAGCACCAGGGACCACTGGAGCTGACATGCTAAAGAAGATGGCGTTAGAAGAAAAAGCAAGGATGGCAAGACATCGTCTCATGTACTTTGGACATGTTATCAGGAGCGATCAGTCCCTGGAGAAGGACATTATACTTCATAGAGGGTCGGCGAAAAAGAGGAAGACCCTCAATGAGATGGATTGACACAGTGGCTGCAACAATGGGCTCAAGCATAACAATGATTGTGAAGATGGTGGAGGACAGGGCAATGTTTCATTCTGTTGTACGTAGGGTTGCTATGAGTCAGAACCAACTCAACGGCACCGAACAACAACAGAATTTGAAAGTGGTGTTTACCCGCTATTCAAGAGGTCATACAAGTGTTATGACATCGTTCCAACCAGTTCAAAGCTTATCGTCTTTGATATTACATTACAAGGACACTATAATCTATCAGCCATCACCAAAGATCCCTGTGAGTCAAAACATTTAATTACCTGACAACTGAGAAGATGGTGGCGTGAGCAGGTCTAAGACCCTGATCCTCCCACGCAAGGACCGAAAAGGGCAACTAGACGTCTGTAATATTAACTCCGTAAGAACTCTAGAAAGCAAGTAGAGAATTGCAGCAATTAACCACATGCTGAAACAAGAAAAAGATGACTTTTAAACAGTAGAAAAACTTCTTTTTCTACTGTTTCCTCTCCTCCTCCTCCTGGTGCAGCAGCTGCAGCCACAGTGAATGTAGACCATGGCTGCATTCTCAGAGAGGGGACCAATCTCTGGCTCTGGAGTTAATAGGGCAAACTTTCAATAACGGACATAACAGCTAGAAAAAAAGAACAATAAGAAAATAGAGGATGTGAACAACTCTATAACAACTCTGGTGGCACAGTGGTTAAGCGCTCAGCTGCTAACCGACAAGTCAGTGGTTTGAACCCACCAGAACCCACCAGCCATTCCACTGGAGAAAGATGTGGCAGTTTGCTTCCATAAAGATTACAGTTTTGGAAACCATACAGGGCAGTCCTATAGGGTCCTTATGAGTCAAAATCAACTCAACAGCAACGTGATTTAAAAAAAAAAATACTAACCAGACCTAACAGACATGTATAGAATACTCTACCCAACAAAAAAATAATACCCATTCTTCTCCAGTACACATGAATCATTCTCCAGTGCACATGGATCATTCTCAAGGATACAATACATGCTAGGTCACAAAAACAAGCCTCAATAAATTTAAAAATGTTGAAATCATACAAGGTATCTTCTCCCACCATAATGAAATGAAACTAGGAATTAATTACAAAAGAAATACTGGAAATTTCACAAATATATGGAAATTAAATAGCACATTGTTAAACAACCGATGGGATAAGGTAGAAATCAAAAAAGAAATCAGAAATATTTAGACTCAAATGAAAATGAAAGCACAAAATATCAAACCTTATGGGATGCAGCTGTGGCGGTTCTCAGAGGGAAATTTAATAACGGTAAACATCACTTCTCAGCCTTTTGGCTGAGATCAAGTATAGTATACGTTCTTATCAGTTTAATGTCTAATACTTTCTCTATCCAAGGACATTTAAAAAGAAACCATCACTTGTCTGTCAGTTTCATACTGTGGTGGCTTGTGTGTTGCTATGATCCTGGAAAATATGCCACCAGTATTTCAAATACCAGCAGGATCACCCATGGTAGACAGGTTTCAGTGGAGCTTCCAGGCTAAGACAGACTAGGAAGAAGAACCTGGCAGTCTATTTCCGGAAAAATTGGCCAGAGAAAACCTTTTGAATAGCAGCAGAACATTCATATAGTGCTGGAAAACAAGCCCCTCAGGTTGTAAGGCACTCAATACAACTGGGGAAGAGTTGCCTCCTCACAGTACAGTTGATCTTAATAATATGGATGGAGTAAAGCTTTCAGGACCTTAATTTGCTGATGTGGAACAACTTATAATGAGAAGAATCAGCTGTAAACAACCATTAAAATTGGAACATGGAATGTATGAAGTATGAATGTAGGAAAATTGAAAGCTGTCAAAAATGAAATGGAATACATAAAGATAGATATCCTAGGCATTAATGAGCTGAAATGGACTGGTATTGGCCATTTGCATCAGACAATCATATGGTCTACTATGCTGGGAATGACAAATTGAAGAGGGATGGCATTGCGTTCGTCAAAATGAAAATTTCAAGATCTATCCTGAAGTACAATGCTGTCAGTGATACGATAATATCCATACACCTATAAGAATGACCACTTAATATGACTGTTATTCAAATTTACACACCAACCACTAATGCCAAAGATGAAGAAATTGAAGATTTTTACCAACTTCTGCAGTCTGAAATTGATCAAACATGCAATCAAGACAAATTGATAATTACTTGTGATTGGAATGCTAAAGTTGGAAACAAAGAACAAAGATCAGCAGTTGGAAAATATGGCCTTGGTGATAGAAACAACACTGGAGATCACAAGATAGAATTTTGCAAGATGAACGACTTATTCATTGCAAATATGTTTTTTCAACAACATAAAAGGTGACTATCCTCACTGGGTGGAATACACAGTAAACAAATCGACCACATCTGTGGAAAAAGACATTGGAGAAGCTCAATATCATCAGTCAGAATAAAGTCAGGGGCTGATTGCAGAATAGACCATCATCAATTGCTAACATGCAAGTTCAAGCTGAAGCTGAGGAAAATTAAAACAAGTCTACAAGAACCAAAGTATGACCTTGAGTATATCCCGCCTGAATTTAGAAACCATCTCAAGAATAGATTAGACGTATTGAACACGAATGACCGAAGACCAGAGGGGCTGTGGAATGACATCAAGGACATTGTTCTAGTTACCTAGTGCTGCTATACCAGAATACCATGAGTGGACGGCTTTAACAAAGAGAAATTTATTCTTTCACAGTCTAAGAGTCTAGAAGTCCAAATTCAGGGTGCCAGCTCCAGGGGAAGGCTTTCTCTGTCAGCTCTGGGGAAAGTTGCTTGTCATCAATCTTCCCCTGGTCTAGGAGCTTCTCAGGCCAGGGACCCCACGTCCAAAGGACACACATGCCTGGCTCTTCTTGTTCGGTGGTAATGAGGTTCCCCTGTCTCTCTGCTCACTTCTCTCTTTTATATGTCAAAAGAGATTGACTCAAGATACAACCTAGTCTTGTAGATTGAGTCTTGCCTCATTAATATACCTGCCTCTAATCCTGCCTCATTAACATCATAGAGGTAGGATTTACAACACATAGTAAAATCACATCAGATAACACAATGGTGGACAATCACCCAATACTGGGAATCCCGGCCTAGCTGAGTTGACATATATTTTTGGGAGACACAATTCAATCCATGACAGACATCATACATGAAGAAAGCAAAAGATCATTAAAAAAAACAGTAAATAAAGAAAAGACCAAAATGGATGTCAGAAGAGACTCTGAAACTTGCTCTTGAACCTAGACTAGCTAAAGTGAATGGAAGAAATGATGAAGTAAAAGAGCAGAACAGAAGATTTCAAAGGGCCGCTCTAGAAGACAAAGTATTATAAACAAATGTGCAAAGACTTGGAGTTAGAAAACCAAAAGGGAAGAACGTGCTTAGCATTTCTAAAGCCGAAGGAACAGAAGAAATTCAAGCCTCAAGTTGCAATTTTGAAGGGTTCTATAGGGAAAATATTGAATGACACAGGAAGCATCAAAAGAAGATGGAAGGAATAGACAAAGTCAATGTACCAAAAGTAATTGGTCGACATTCAACCATTTCAGGAAGTAGCGTATGATCAAGAACCAATGGTACTGAAGCAAGAAGTCCAAGCTGCACCAAAGGCATTGGCAAAAAACAAGGCTCCAAGAACTGATGGAATACCATTTGAGAGGTTTTAACAACTGGATGCACCACTGGAAGCGTTCACTCATCTATGCCAAGAAATTTGGAAGACAGCTTCCTGGCCAACCGACGAAGAGATCAATACTTGTGCCTGTTCCAAAGAAAGTGCTCCAACAGAATGTGGAAATTATTGAACAATATCATTAATATCACACACAAGTAAAATTTTGCTGAAGATAATTCAAAACTGGTTGCAGCAGTACATCAACAGGTAAGTACCAGAAATTCAAGCCAGATTCAGAAGAGGATGTGGAATCAGGGATATCATTGCTGATGTCAGACGGATCCTGGCTGAAAGCAGAGAATACTAGAAAAATGTTTACCTGTGTTTTATTGACTATGCAAAGGCATTCGACTGTGTGAATCATTACAAATTATCAATAACATTGAGAAGACTGGGAATTCCAGAACACTTAATTGTGTTCATGAGGAACTTTACATAGACCTAGAGACAGTAGTTCAAACAGACAAGAAGATACTGCATGGTTTAAAATCAGGAAACATGTCAGGGTTGTATCCTTTCACCATACTTACTCATTCTATATGCTGAGCAAATAATCTGAGAATCTGGACTATATGAAGAAGAATATAGCATCAGGATTGGAGGAAGACTCATTAACAACCTGCGATATGCAGATGACACAACCTTACTTGCTGAAAGTGAAGAAGACTTGAAGCACCTACTGATGAAGATCAAAGACTACAGCCTTCAGTATGGATTACACCTCAGCATAAAGAAAACAAAAATCCTCACAACTGGACCAATAAGCAGCATCATGATAAATGGAGAAAATATTGAAGTCATCGAGGATTTCATTTTACCTGGATACACAATCAATGCCCATGGAAGAAGCAGTCAAGAAATCAAACGATCTACTGCATTGAGCAAATCTGCTGCAAAAGACTTCTTTAAAGTATTAAAAAGCAAAGATGTCAGTTTGAGGACTAAGGTGTGCCTGACTCATGCCATGGTATTTTCAATTGCCTCATATGCATGCGATAGCAGGACAATGAATAAGGAAGACCAAAGAAGAATTGATGTCTTTGAATTATGGTGTTGGTAAAGAATATTGAATATACCATCGACTTCCAGAAGAACAAACAAATCTGTCTTGAGAGAAGTACAGCCAGAATGCTCCTTAGAAACTAGGATAGCAAGACTTCATCTCAGGTGCTTTGGACATGTTATCAAGAGGGATCAGTCCCTGGGAAGGACATCATGCTTGGTAAAGTACAAGGTCAGCAAAAGAGAGGAAGACTCTCAATGAAGTGGATTGACACAAGTGGCTGCAACAATAGGCTCGAGCAAAGCAATGATTGTGAGCATGGCGCAGGACCAGTCAGTATTTCATTCTGTTGTACATAGGGTCACTATGTGACAGCACCTAACAACGACAACAACAACAAACCATCTACATTTAAAAACAAAGATTTCAAATCAATAGCCTAACTTTACACCTTGAGAAACTAGAAAAAGAAAAGTCTAAGCCCAAAGTTAACAGAACAAAGGAAATAACAAAGATCAGAACAGAAATAAATGAAATAGAGACTAGAAAAACAATGGAGAGAATCAATAAAACCAAAAGATGGTTTTTTGAAAAGATCAGTAAAATTGACAAGCTTTTAGCTAGACTGACAAAGAAAAAAAGAGAGACGATGCAAATAACTAAAATCAGAAGTGAAACTGGGGATATTATACTGACCCTTCAGAAATAAAAAGGATCACAAGAGAATACTATGAATAATTTTACACCAACAAATTAGATAACCCAGATGAAATGTGCAAGTACCTGGAAACATGAACTACCTAAATTGACTCAAGAACAAATGGAAAATCTCAATAGACCCTTAACAAGGGAAGAGATTGAATCAATACTAAAAAAAAAAAAAGCCTCCCAATAAATAAGTAAAAGTCCTGGACTAGATGGCTTAACTAAAGAATTCTACCAAACATTTAAAGAAGAATTAACACCAATCCTTCCTAAACTCTTCCAAAAAATAGAAGAGAAGGAAACATTTTCTAAGTCATTCTATGATTCCAGCATTACCCTGATACGAAAACCAGACAGAAACATGGTAAGAAAAAGAAATTTACAGAATAGTATCCTTTATGAATACATGTGCAAAAATCCTCAACAAAATACTAGCAAACCAAATCCAACAGCATATTAAAAGGATTATACACCATGACAGAGTGGGATTTATTCCAGGAATGCAAGAGTGGTTCAGCATTAGAAAATCAATCAACAAAATACATTGCACAAAGGAAAATAGCCATATGATCATCTCAATCAATACAGAAAAGACGTTTGGTAAAATCCAACACCCTTTTATGACAGAACACTCAACAAACTAGGAATCAAAGGGAAATTCCTCAATATGATATAAGACATTTATGAAAAAAAAACCCACAGCTAAAATCATACTCAATGGGGAAAATCTTAGACATTTCTCCTTAAGATCAGGAACAAGGCAGGGATGCCCACTCTGACTCCATTTAATATTATATTGGAAGTCCTAGCCAGAGTTGTTAGGCAAGAAAAAGAAATAAAACGTATTCAAGTCAGGAAGGAAGAAGTAAAACTCCCTATTCACAGATAACATGATCCTATATGTAGAAAATCTCAAAAAATCCACAAGAAAGCTACTAGAGCTAATAAACGAATTCAGCAAAATATCGGGGTACAAGGTCAAAACATAAAAATCAGTTCAGTTTTTATATGCCAGTAGTACACAATCTGAGGAGATAATTAAGAAAACAATTCCATTTACAATACCATCTAAAAGAATAAAAT